TTTGAATAATTTTATTTTATAATTTAATTTTAATTCAGACCTAAAATAGTATAGTAATATTTCAGATTGTTTTATGATTATTTTGGGTTTAATTTGTAAATAAGCCCTATGAATAATCCTTTGATGGAATTATCCCTTTCAGTTTGTACTCTTTTTTACTTTTTGGGGTGTTCATTTTACCATAAAATTTTGAGAGAATTTCAGTTAAGGATCATGATAATTACTTAATTACAGGTGAGTCTATTTTTTTTTTTTAAATTTCATGTCAATCTAGGGGAAAAAGATGAAAAGAATTTTGACCGTGAAAAAAATCAAAATACCCTTAACTTATGATACAGAATCATTAGTTGTTAATTTCTTACTTAATTTATTAATTTAGTAATATGAATATAAATTACATGAGTTGACATATCAATAAATATATAAAACTTGACATTAATTATTTAATTATAAACAATAATATCAATTATTAAATTACTAAGTTTACTTATTAATTTATCATTATCAGTTATAAATTATTAATAAATCTTATAATTTACCAACATAATTTGTAAACCAAGTATAGTTTTTGAAAAATGCCTCATATCATGATCTGAAAGGAATGTCATTTAATTATGGGTTCAGAATACAATTGGGCTTCCACTATTATATCATGAATTTGCATATTTATTTTTAATAAATTATATGTTTAATTAATTTCTTTCATTTTAATAATAAAGGGAATTTGGATACTTGATGTTAAATGTACTAAAATTCCATTAGAAGCATAAATATGAGAGCAACCTGCGAGAAGTTTCGTTCCACTGTTAATATAAAGATTTTATTAATGGATAATCTAGTAATATATTTGTAAATACTATTTAAGTCATGCCTTAGCCGCGGAGGCTTGGGATACAACTCATTTAAATTTGTAAGTAGCAAAAAAGTGTTAAAAAAAAATTAAAATAGGTAATTTGCTTAATGGCAAGTATCAAAATGAATGGACGTCCTAATTTTTATGCACATACCTTAAATGTATATATCTAAAATTTAAATTAGATAGTAAAAACAATATTTTTAGAATTTGAAGAACCTAAATAAAGTAAATGGTAAGTATGAAGATCATTATTAGTTTGGTTGTAATCGTTTATGATTTTAGTTTTTTTTTTAATTCAAAAAAATATATTAGAGAATCTGGCAATTTAGTAACTGACAACTTAAAACGTTGAGGGAAAGCGGGAAGCGATTCCAATATTATTATTAACCTCTTTAGCCGCTTGTTATCTTACAATGCTTTCAATTGTGGGTAACCATAAAAGAGGAAAATGAAGAATGACATGTAAGACCCTCTTAAGATAATTTATTACAATAAGAGGTTATCAATTTTGAGTCAGATGTGTCTTATAAAAACACGTATATATTATTAAAAGATAAATCTTAACTTGTTTTTGTTTTTGTTAGTTTTTTTTTTAAATTTAATAAGTTAAAATTCAATTTTTAACAACAATAAGTATTTTTATATCAAATGCAAAATTGATAAGCTCTTATTGTAATAAATTCATTTGAGATGATCTTAAATTTGATTCTCACATAAGAAAACAGGATACACAATATTGTCGCAATATTATCTGTGAGAGATATTCTTGAAAAAATATAATTTTGAATTATTATACTTTATTTGTATTTTAGTATTAGGTCCTGCACTTTTTTTTGGTGTTCTAAGTCCCTATAGATTTTATTTTTTAATATTTTAAATTCCTACACTTTGTTCATTTAAAGACCTAGAACATCAAAAAAAACAAAAACATAGGGATCTAAAATATTAAAAAAATATAAGAATCTATAACAAAATAACTAGATCTAAAGTTATATTTTCTTGATATTCTTTTAATGTGGAAAGGAAATTGTTTCTAGATTTATGCAGTCAAAGATGGTTACAGACTCTTCCTAAGTGATCAAATTTGGAAAAGCATCAAACTATGAGAGACTTCATTTTATGGTTGCTGGGGAATATACACTTTTGTGGGTTGGACCGTGAATTAAAGAAACATATTTTTTCCTTATCTTCTGGACCAGGATCCATAAAAGCTGGGCCCATATAAATTGAACCTACCCGCTTCATGGTCTAATAATTCAATTTAATTTTTTTTAATTGTTACATGCAAGGTGTTGTGATACACTTCTCATTCATAATCATTTAATTTGCACATAAAATTCTTAATTGTAAAATACTTCAAATTATAAAAAAATAAATTATTTAATTTTTATAATTTTTGATTTAATTATAGGTTAACCTCTAAACTTTAATTTATTATAATTTAATTTTTAAATTTTCACTCAATACAACTTATTTTTAATAGTTATAACTATTTAAAATATTGGCCTATATACTTTAGAAAATAAATTAAAAAATTTAAATTTTTTTAAAATTTTAATTTTTATATTCTTTATAAATGTTAAATGTTTTGGTAATTAAAATTATTAGTTCCTAAATTTCAAAATAATTTTAACTATGATAATTTTATTTTTAAAATAGAAGGACCAATATTTAAAATGGTTCAAATTATAGAATTGAATTGTACTTGGTCAAAATTTAAGGACATAGTTATAATAAAAAACTATAAAGATTGAGTTATAATGAGTCAAAATTTAAAAATTAAATTACAATTGAATTAAAATTATAGAAACTAAATAATTATTTTTTAAAAAAACTTATATTAATTACAATTAGATCAAACTTTAACAACACAAAACTTATAATCCATTTTTCTATAAAAAATTTTGTCCTGCACATCAAGGTTAAATTCTAGTTTGGTATGTACAGATAATAAGTAATTCGAACTATTTTAGTCTTTTATATAACTTTAAAAAAATCATCCAAGAATCACATAGAACATAATTTATATGATCTGCATATTACCTATGATTGATGAATTATTAAATGAACAATTCATGGATATGAAACTAGTGCGTGTGGTGACCCCACTCAATATAACTAATATTTGACTTTTATCATGTTTTTTCTTTTTTAAATAAAACTTAGGAGTAATTTAAAGGGGGGAAGAAATTAGAAGGACGTTATCGAATTAAACCTCATTGCTTAGCATCTGGTTCGCCAGCCGTGCTATCGGATTATAAAACGTTGACGCCAATAGTCGTCCTTTTTATTATACGAATTGAAATAATTATATGAATCATATGATATAGGGAGAATTATAGTTAGATTACACACAAAGAAATTAATATAATTAGTTCAGTTGTTAATGAACTTTACAGTAATTAATTTTTTTATGTGGGACTTCAATATAATTGTCCCTATCATATATGATTAATTAGTGTAGTTGAATAAATGAAAATAAAAATCAAAGCAATAAGTTGATGATTATTATTTATTATAAAGTTATGGGAAATTTTGTCCTATAAGTTTTTCATTAAATAATGAAACTGTTATCCTTTCAATTGATGCAATATTAACTAAAAAGTTAAAAAAAATGCAATATTACCCCTATAACAACATTTGATCAATGATTACTGTTATTGTGAGGGTGAAAGGTTAATTTTCCTATAATAACATTTGATCAATGATTACTGTTATTGTGAGGGTGAAAGGTTAATTTTCCTATAATAACATTTGGCAAATTAATTTTCCTACTGTTATCATGAGGATTAAAAGGTAATTTTATTCTTGAAATTTATCTTGAAAAAATTTGGCACCCTAAACTTTTAACAAGTTTAATATTTTAAGATTATCAACATTTAAATCAGAAGAATGATCTAACAAGTCATTATAACCTAAAATTATAGAAGATTTTGAATTAAATTATATTAAATATCTCTAAGTTAAAATTCAAATTAATCTATCCTGCCCACAAGCGATTTGAAAAAAAAAATTTATATTTGCTTACGGTTAAGTTTGGGCGCATGCTTGAACTTACTCGTGAATAAAAAAAACAAAAAAAGGAAAGTTTGGACTTTATTGAAGGGAAAGTTCGCAGAATGTTCAAATAGAATGAATTTTACGTTCAAGCAAATTTATGTAATGTTTCTTGTCAAAATCTATAAGTACAAATTATTTTTAAAATCAATAATGTGTTGTTAGATTTTTTTTATAATTTAAATATTGATAATTCAAAAATATTGTGCAAATTAAAAAGTTTAAGATACTAATTCATCTTTTAAAAAAACTTCTGGAACAAAATTAATATTTAACCATTGTGAAAAAATTTCAATTAACAATCAAAGTTATTATATTACTAGACAATATTGTATTATTTTTAAAAATTTTAGGATAATTTTATGACAATCAAAATTCAAGGATACTCATTGCATTTGGCGAAAAAATTCAAGGACAAATTTGTCCTTTAATTCATTATTATATGACTAAATTGGAATTAGCTTATTTATTATATCAATGTCATGTAAACTCTTCCAAGTTTCGCCACTTGGATTCTAAAATAAAAAAAGTAGATTTTTTTTTACCAAAAAATAAAAAAAGTACAAATTTATATTAAAAAAATCGCAACAAAAAGATATAGTACTGTATACAAATATATTCATCTCTCTGTCGTTAGTTATCCGATTTTAAAATGTGGACAGGTTGACGCCAATAGTCGTCGTTTAAACGAGCGACATACGTTTCGGTCATTTGAACATGAACGGCATTTCTTGGCCGACCATCCCTCCCGGGCTGCTTTATCCAATGGGAAAAGAGAGAATTGCTTAATTTTTGTTTATTTCCTCTTTAGCCACCAAGAAAATCAGCCAACAATGAAAGCTCGAATATTCCAGAAATTATAGTGGGAAGAAAAGCACGTCCTCATTCTTTGTCATAATTAATTATACAAAATTACGGACACAAATTGAAGCTAGAGAGACTTTTTTTAAGAAAAAGTTCAGTTGTTTATGAACGTAATTAATTTTTTTTTTTTACGTGGGCTTCAACGTTAATTCTTCCCCTCTTTTTTTGCCTTGGACAAGAAGTATCTAGAAAAGGGCCCCCAAGATTTTTGTCCACCGATAAATTACCCAAATGGAACTGTGTTTTTTCGTCTTGTGCAGAGCTGCGTTCAGAGCTAGTTTCAGTGACGGAAATGGCTGGTGCTGATAATGTCGCCCATGATATTCAATCTATCCTCTCTTCTTCGGAGAGGGATTATCTCGTTCGGAATAACGGCGATCAGGTGCTTCTTTTGTTCTTACGTTTAACGCGATTTCTGCCTTTAATTTTCTCGGAAAAGTTTCCACGTCTGAGATTCGGAACTCTTCATTTATTCACGAATCCATCTTTCTTCCATAAGACTCCAACCATATCTGAAGTTATGATCAACGGCCTTCTCACTAAATTTTGTCTTCTGAGTGAATAGGGTGTCTATACTTGCAGCATATCTGATTTGATTACTGTCTTTCTGTATTTTCTATGTTTGATGTTTGATTCACGGATATCTATTAATTACAAAACACGTGAGTTGTGATACACCAGCTTGTTCTTCAGTATAAGACCAAGATGGGTTAAAATAGGCTGCTGAATCAAATAGAATAAATCGGAATGATTTTTTTGAGCATGAGATCTGATAGACTCTGCCACTGGATATGCTGTTTTATTTGAGAGGTCTTTAATCATGCTGTAAATATTTTCAGGTACAAATTGAGAGCTTGAAAGGGAAGAAAGTTGGTTTATATTTTTCAGGATCTTGGTGCGGCCCCTGCCGACGATTCACCCCTACTTTGGTGGAGTTGTACAATGAAGTCTCACCTAAAGGTGACTTTGAGATCATCTTTGTGTCAGCTGATGAAGATGAAGATTCCTTCAAAGGTTACTTTTCAAAGATGCCATGGCTTGCTGTCCCATTTTCTGATTCCGACACGCGCAGTAGCCTCGACCAATTGTTCCAAGTGCAAGGGATTCCCCACCTCGTGATTCTGGACGAGAATGGGAAAGTCGCCACTGAAGATGGAACTGAGGTTGTACTTGAGCATGGAGCTGAAGCATACCCTTTCACACCAGAAAGGATCAAAGAGTTGAAAGACCAAGAAGAGGAAGCCAAGAGGAACCAGTCCTTGAGATCTCTTTTGGTCTTTAAGTCACGAGACTTCGTTGTATCTTCTGATGGGACGCAAGTAAGTTTCTGTAACTTCACTCTCTGAATGAGCTAAACCTGAAGAAGTATGACTGGTCCGATCCTCAAAATCAAAAGGCTTTAAGCTTTTTGTGGCTGATCTGGGCAAGTGTTGTTCACATTGTGATGAATTAATATTATTTTGGGCACATATAGGACAGAGTTTGAATTTCACCTTCCATTAAACTGCAGGTACCTGTGTCTAAACTTGAAGGGAAGACAGTGGGTCTGTATTTCTCATATTTTGCGTACAAACCATCCGCTGATTTTACCCCAAAGCTTGTGGAGGTTTATGAGAAGCTGAAAGCAAAGGGGGAGGACTTTGAGATTGTGTTGATATCCGTTGGTGATGATGAAGAACCGTTCAAACAAGGACTGAAAAATTTGCCCTGGTTGGCATTGCCATTCAAGGACAAGAGCTGCGAGAAGCTTGCTCGCCACTTCGAGCTATCAACCTTGCCCACCTTGGTTATTATTGGGCCAGATGGAAAAACCCTTCATTCCAATGTGGCTGAGGCCATTGAAGAGCACGGCGTTGCTGCATACCCTTTTACTCCTGAGAAGTTTGGAGAGCTTGCTGAGATAGAGAAGGCCAAAGAGGCAGCTCAGACTTTTGAATCTATTCTGGTTTCTGGAGATCTAGATTTTGTTTTGGGGAAAGATGGGATCAAGGTATGAGTAGAACAATCGAATTTTTTTTCCCCTGTTGCTTCTGAGATATTTTCAATAGCTTGAAAATGGTCTAATTCATTCTGATGTATTGGATGTCAGAAAGCATATACGGTGCATACAAGATGCATGTTTGTTTTGGTATTACCAGGAGATAGAAATACCTATGTGGATTTGATATCTTTTTAGTTTATTCTTTTACAGTAAAAATTAATATGCTCTGTATGATAGCTTTTGGTTTGTCATTTCAAACATGAAACTCTAAAATGCTGATATTTGACACTTGAGCATCATTTAAATCAGGATACAATAAATATGTGAATTTGATATCTTTGAACTTTAGTCTATGATTTATATGAAAGATTTTGATTTGTTATTCCAAACATGAAACTATTTTATACTACTATGAGATGATATTTGAAACTTGAGTATCATCTGAACCCATAATGGTGCTTCTCTTCCTATCCTCTACTCTCTCCATTCTGTGACAGTAATGACAGTAGCTCTTCTTTATTTCAGATTTCAGTGTCAGATTTAGTGGGGAAGACAGTCCTCCTATACTTCTCAGCTCAATGGTGCCCACCATGCCGTGCATTTCTGCCAAAGCTTATAGAAGCATATCACAAGATCAAGGCCAAAGACAACGCACTTGAAGTCGTCTTCATATCCAGTGACAGGGACCAGGCCTCGTTTGACAAATTCTTTGCTGAAATGCCATGGCTGGCGCTTCCTTTTGGTGACTCTAGGAAGGCATTCTTGGGTCGCAAGTTCAAGGTGCAGGGCATTCCCAAGTTGGTGGCCATAGGACCTAGTGGCCGAACCATCACGAAAGAAGCCAGAGGACTCATCACGCTTTATGGTGATGAAGCCTATCCTTTCACTGAGGAAAGGGTGAAAGAACTTGAGGCAGCAGCTGAAGAACAACGGGCATTGGAGGAAGAGAAATCTAAACAAGGTCCCAATGAGGAAGATGAGAATAAGAAAGATGGGTGGGTTTGTGATGGAGAAGTTTGCACTAAAGCCTGAGCAAGAGTTAAGAGTGAAGACTGTTTGTTGTATTGAACTTGTCCCTTGCCTCGTATGTATCTCGTGTGTGTACTTCAAAGTATGTATAATGTTGTGTTGGATTTTAATGTTATAAATAAACATTTTTAGCTATTTTATATATGCATTATGGATTATATACAATGGTATAGTATATGTCAAGGTAAAAAAAAAAAAAAATTAACTGTCTTATTGAGTATAAGGTACAGGGGGAAGATTAAGTTATGTCAGACATATCCAAAAGACCTCAAATAATGCGAGTCATATCTACAAACTTGTGTTCTTTTAATGATATTTTTTGGGCGAAGTTTATAAATAGATTTTTTTCCATGCAAAAGAAAAAAAATGTTTAATTCTCTCGTTAGTCAATGCTATAGTAAGTTTTCTGGTAAAAAGTGCTATAGTAAATTTTACTTAAAGAAAAGTTTAAGTGCTTGAATGAAATGAGTATTTGTTTAAAATAAAATATTAGTTAAATTAAATACGTTTGAATTAGCGTGTGTTTGGATTGAGGAGAAACGCGCGTTTTCAGCTCCAGAATTATTTTTTGAACAAAATATCCAAACAGCAAAAAAAAACACAAAACGCGCGTTTTTTTATAAGCTCTTCCCACCAGCTTTCGCAAAAAATGTGTCAAAAATGTTAGAGAAAATTACAAAGAAAGGCCCAAGAAAAAATTACAAAAAAGCACATAATTTAATAAAAATAAAATTAAACTCTCTTCTTTTCCTTTTTTTTTTTAATAAAATTTAAATTTTGTATATTCAAAAAATTAATATTTGATATTTAAAAATTAAATTATATAGTAATTTATATAGTTAAAAATTAATTTTAATTAAATTATTCAAACAACTTTAATTCTGTTAAAATCAATTTTAGAAAAACAGTATCCAAACAGATTGCGTTATAACATAATCAATTATGATTAAAATCTACTACTTAATTAATTATTTTCATAATCTATTATACCCAACTGAAATCCAAACGGACCCTTAATTAATTTCGTACAACAGAAATTACACCATTTCAACAACTTTTATGGGTCATTTTATTCATTATTTATATTACATTATCCCATATTTACATTTTTTATCATGTCTATCATCATATTTAACTTTAATATTTACTTTTTATTCTTATCCAGAATTCATAGTTGCTTAAAATATTTAATGTTAATTATTTTTACTTAACAGTATGTTTTGATCTCCCTGCCCATGACTTAAATTATTTGAGCTTATTTCAAATAATTTACTTTATAACAAATATTTTTCTTGACACAACTATGACTAACATGTTATGGCAATGGTTTTTCTTTTTTTTTTTTTGTGATTTCTCGCATGTACTCCCTTGGTCCTATTTTTAAGACAGAATGAGAAGAAAAAATTTGATTCTATTTATAAATTACTTGTCAATTTTTAATGCTTCTCTTTACGTTTTGCTGTTGTTAAATGTTTTGAATAAAAGAACAATTATGAGCTTTAAAATTATTTATTAGAGGTAAAGGTGGAAATTTGTTAAGTTTTTAGAGAAAGTTAATGAGGTTTTGGGTTTTTTTTTTATTTTAATGAAAGATGCTGAAAGTGACTTATAAATAAGATCAAATAGAGTATCTTTTATTGAAAATAATATTGTTTGAGGCATCTTTCCTAGTAAGGATTCAAACTTGGTTCATTATGTTGTGGAGCCTTCCAATAGACCTGACCTCCGTTACTAGCAAGATTAATTTAGTTAATCCAAATTGATTATTTTTTGTTTTTAATAAAAAACCTGGCTCATCTATCATTGGATTCTAAATCATTGAGGCCAATAATGGGGACTTGTGGGTCATCATTCCTGCCTTCTTTCCCAAGGCTTATGTGAAAATTCAATTGATGGATAATTTATAATTATAAATATTTGAGAAAATAGAATTTTAAATTTCTATATTTTCTCACATTTTTCTATTGATCAGTACATTTTTTTTTATATTTTTGGTCCTTACACTTTTATTTTTTATTATTTTAAGTCCTTCCATGAACAAAGTATAAAAATCTTAAAGGGATTTAAAACAATAAAAAATAAAAGTGTAAGGACAAAAATATTAAAAAAAAAGTGCAAGGACTAATAACAAAACATGAGCAAAGTATAGTAATATAAAGTTATGCTTTTTCTTGCACCTCAAAAATGAGATGCGGATCACGCGGATGGTGTGAGAGTGGAGATTCTGGCATTCGGGGCGAGAACCGGATGGAATGGGAGTCGTCACCAAATTTTTGAGGGAAATCTTGCGAAATCGATCAAAGAAAAATAAAGATGGTTTGCAAAAATAAAAAATAGGTTTGTGAGTCAATTAAATGTGGGAAAGGTGTTAGGCACCCCACAACACCTATTCGTGAGAATGGTTATTTGAAGTTTGTTATGCTCTATTAATATGGTTTTATAATTATTTTAATTATTTTTTTTATATTTATGTGTTTAAAAAAATGATAAGAATTAAGTGAAAAATATTTATTTATTTATGAGAGAGGACTTGACTTAAAATTTAACTCTGAGGCCTATGTACTTTGTGATGGGGATCAAAGTCCATGTAGTTCGTGCTTGAAAATTGTTGGCGAAAATACTTTTTTGAAGAGAAATTAATTATAAATAATTCACCATTTTGTAAATAAAATAATTTTTAAAATTTTGATATGTGTGTTTTAAATTATAACAAGTAATTTAATTTTAATTATTTTCTTAATTTTTAAATTTTTGGAATAAAGAAAGAAAAGAGTTTAAAATTATTATTTTTTTATGTTTTATGATTGAAGATTTAACCGCTATACCTGCACCTGCAGAGTTTTATTGACTTATATGGTAATATAATCATTTTAAATATCTGCGAATATTCTAAAATCTCACACGATAAAAGAGTTTAACAACTTAATTTATTTATATTTTTAAGTGTTAGTAATAATTTATTTAAGCATATATATATATATATATATATTTTAAAAAATTTTAATTATCATACCTGCAAAGCCTTATTGACTTATACGGTAATACGATTATCCTAAATATTTGTGAAGATTTTAAAATCTCACACTATAAAAGATTAAATAATATACACTTAAATAAATTTTTAATTTGATTGATTTAATATATAATTTATATATATTTTAAAAACTTAATCATTATATCTGTAGAGTCTTATTGACTCATACAATAATTTGATTATCTTAAAAGTTTACGGAGATTTAAAAATCTCATATGATTAAAAGATATAATCAGTAATATAATCATAATTTAAATTTATTAATTTAATTAATTAATATTACACAAAATTTTTATTATTTTATTTATAAAAATTCATTTATTTATTTATCATATAAATTGATAATCATGATATTTGTAAGGATATATTATCCCACACGATGACATGATTAATTTAAGTTTCTGCGAAGATTTTTGAAATCTCACATGAGACTTAAATATTTATTATGAAAAGAGAATTAATTTTAACAATGAGCCTTTGAAACTCATATAAATACATATAAGATTGATTCTCGTACTCGTGAAATCTTATTAATTTACATAGTATGAGATCATTTTAAATTTAAATGCTTGTGGAGACTTTTGAAATCTCACATTACAAATAAACCATATATATATATATATATATATCTCCTTTTTCTTTTTATACTTTAGCCTTTTGTAAGGAAATCATGACAACATATAGAAATATAAAGCACCAGAGGTATGTGTATGTTATTAGCCATGATTATTGATATACATGAATAAACTACCACAAATGAACAAAGATTAATATAAGGATTAAACCATGTTACCACACATTGCATTTTTCTAAAACATGGTAATTAAAAAGCTTGAAACGCAATTTGAGAATCAACCATGCAAAACTAAATGTACCTAGATTGGACACGTTAGATATCTTATAATACAAACCATCATAAGTTCATTTTGCAAACACAAAAATCACTAGATGAAGAACTTGTCAAATTTTTAAAATTAGTAGGCAAACTTAGTGATTAATTTCCAAATGTCAAGAATCTCAAAACTTGAATTGAATTATACCTTTGAACCATTAAGAAACACAATATTACATAAGATATTTTTATAAATAGCCCATCAAGGACTCATGTAAACTTATGCCCACCATAAAATCTTGAAAAAAAAAGGAAAAAGGAGGACAATATTATTCAAGCCATAGCTTTTACCTGTAGCTTTATAACAAGGATGGTGTTTTTTATCAGCTCTTCCTCCAAGCTCTCGGCTCTCTATTAGGAAGAATCAGAACCAATATTGCATAACATAGCTGCCTTCCCTCAGGAGTTCCACAATGTATGTTTTGCAGCTTCCTTTTGCCTCAAAATAATTCCAACCTTTCGTCCAAGTTTAGAAATATTTTTCTCAGCATTAATTCCCTGACCTTCATAGTGTAAATCCCATATCATCCTGTACCACCTCCTTCATTGGGAAGAACAGAAACGAACCCACTTGCACCAACAACACATCCCAATACCAATTAAGGATAACCTATCAAACAGGTTTGAAGCATTCAGTCTAGATCCACGTTTGGTTCTGGGCTCGATTTACACCACAGTCTTTCTTCTTCTTGTTCTTTTTTCTCTCCCTCACTCTCGGTATCCCTCTCCACGCTCTCTCCTTCTTCTTTTTTCTGCTCTATTTTCATGCTCTCTCCTTCCTCTTTTTTTGCTCTCTTTCGTGCTTTGTTTGCTTCTCCACTATCTGTCTCTCTCTCTCTCCGTCCCTAGTTTCTCTTTTCTCCTTTATGCTTTTTTTTTTTTTTTTTCAGTTTCTCTCCTTCCTCGGTCTTCCTCTTGCATGCATGCTCCGTTATGTTCTCTCCTTCCTCTCTTTCTTCTGATCTTTTTTGCGTTTGTTGTGTTCTGCTTCTTTTTCGTTAGTGTTTTCTCCATCTCCTTCTCTCTCTCGTTCTCCATCTTTGCTTTCTCTGGCTTCCTTTTTTTCAGTTGCTCTTCTCTCTGTTTTCAGTCCTCTCTCCCTCTCGATCATCACTGTCCAACTACTCCTCCTCGATCTCTTTCTCTCGTTTTTGTGCTCTGTCCCTCGTGCTCTCTCCTTCCTCGATTTTCTGCTTTGTCTCTTGTGCT